TTTTTTTTTTTTTTTTTTTTTTTGTGGTAAGTGGGCCTCTCACTGTTGTGGCCTCTCCCGTTGCGGAGCACAGGCTCTGGACACGCAGGCTTAACGGCCATGGCTCACGGGCCTAGCCGCTCCGCGGCATGTGGGATCTTCCCAGACTGGGGCACGAACCCGTGTCCCCTGCATCGGCAGGCGGACTCTCAACCACTGAGCCACCAGGGAAGCCCCATATTCTTATCTTATATTTCCTCTGATAGATTTTTTTCTGTCGTTCTGATTGAGTTTCACAACAACATACAAGAGTAGAGCTTAATTAGGAATGGGGGCAGAAAGAAGAAATTGGAAAAGGAAGGCATTTGGGCAATAGATAAACATCCAAAACAATGTGGGCAAAGGAGGAAGCAACACTCCCTGGGGTTTTCTGTTTGAGAGTCTTTGAGCAACAAGCTGCTATAGGAAAATATGTGGGTTGCTGGAAAGTGCAGGGTTATTGTGGAGGAAATAACTGTTGGGAGATTCTCACAGACCAACTGCATTGCTACTTAATGAACTCCTGATAAAACCCAGAGCGCACAAAGCGAGGCAGTGAATCCTTTTCCATCAGGGCATGGATTCTTTTCTGGGCCGCATCAAAGCTGCTTGGGGAAGGTTCCACCAGGTTCTTCACTGTGATGTCCTTCGTGAAATGATCAATATTCACCTGTGAGACGGGAAACAGGGTCACTGAGTCAGCCAGGTTGTGGGATTTGAGGAGGGGTTGGGAGAGAAGTGGAATTTCTCACCAGTATGACACATGAGGGGAAGAGAGTCATAGAAAGTGAGAAATATCATTTCTATTTTATACACAGTGGGGTAAGGCAACTTCAACAAATGCTTCAACAAACGCATGACTCAGATTAAGATCAACCAGTGTTAGACACCCACTGTTAGAAACAAGCAACCAACACATGCAGACCTCATATAATCCTCACAATAACCCTAAGAATGAGTGTTTCCTTTTGTAGGGGAAAGATAGAAAGATAGATAGATAGATAGACAGATAGATAGGTAGATAGATAGATAGATAGATAGGTAGGTAGATAGATAGATAGATAGATATAGATAGAGACTTCTTCAAGATCACAGAACTAATAAATGTATTTGAATGCAGAGACTCTGAAAGCAGAGACTCTGAATCCAAGTATCCTGATGCCTAATCCCACAGTCCTCCTACCACAGCATTTGGTTTCACACCTAGTGGGGAGAATGAAGAGGGAGAAAGAACTTCTGACCAGGGATCCAAGACCTTTTGCATGGTTCTCGAAGAATAAAGAAATTTGGTCTTTTCCTGAAACGAAGTGGGAAACAATGGTTCTAGTGCAACAATAATAACAATAGCAGCTAATGCTTACTGAGTGCGGAGAGCTTAACTTTTACAGGCACTGTGCTATGAATTCATTGAATCTTACAACTCTAGGAGGCAATACTGACACCTACATTTTACACCTGAGGGACAGAAATGTTAAGTGACTTGCCCAAGATCATAAGTGGTAGAGAGAAAACTCAAAAGCCCAGCAATATTGCTTTTACCCAGTAGACTGCAATGTTGGAAGGCATTAATTTGTCCTGAATGCAGGGCTACTACAGCGAGCCACTCCCAGGGACACCATTCATGTTAGGGTCCGTGTAAATGGCCCCTGGAGTTGTACAGTGTACAACCTGCCTGGGCTTGTCTGAGTATGATTTGAGAGAAATCACGTTGTATGTTTCAATGACTCTTAAGGAGTCTGCATGTAAAAGAGAAAGAAACAAATCAACCAATAATTTTGAACTGGAACATGAGAAAATGTTTTAGGTCTCTCCTGGGCTGCTAGAAGTTCTTGAAACTGAGAAAAGCTATTTGGGCTCAGAGAATTATGAAGCAGCTTTAGGTCAGAGTCAGGGACAAAGACATGATTGGGGAGTACGAGGCCAGAACACACAGGAGTGACTGTGACTGAAGGTCCAGGATGAAGTGAGTTGAGGCTATGACATGTTTTCCACAGATGAGAGGGGCCTGTGTGCTTTATGCAGGAATGGCAGAAGACTACACAGGAGGCACTGGAAACAGCCTCAGAGGTGAGGTAGTCTGACTCCTGCCTTCACAGGTGAAGACTCCGAGACCCAGAGAGGTCGTTACAGGCCCACAAACAGCTAGTGAGGGACAGAGGTGAGGCTATAATGCGTATTTCTCTATTCTCAGTCTGTTATTCTTCTCGCGATGTTTCTTCCTTCTTTTAAATATATACTGAGCTAGGTGGGCAGTCTTACTCAAATAGTTGCATTTCTAAAAATTATAGAATTATCCCCTAATCCTATTTTTTAAAGAAGTGAAGTATTTAAAACTTTCTAACACACTGCATGCACCAGCAAAAACAGCTATTTATCTTATAAGTTTTATGTGCATGGGTTCCTCTAATGAATCATTTTGATATATACTCATCTGTTTACTAGAGAGCAAAGAAAATATTTTTCATTAATTTAAAATATGGACAGTTGACAATCTGCAATATACGAGTTTTCTACTTATTGAACTACGCAGGGTCACTTCTCTTTTTTTAATCTTAGTTCCAATTTTTTTACAACTGTATCTCTCCTTTAGTTCCTTATCTTAAAGAACTGAGGTGAATATTCAGAGAAAGAAAATTTAGATTGCTATTTGCCTGGGTAAATTTGTTTTATAGGTCAATCTGCTGGTCATCAAAATGAAATAGTAAATTTGGGGGTCAAAATACAAGAGTTGGAGAATTTTAAAAATAACAGCTACAATTTATTAAACATCCTCTAGGTACACATACATATATGTGAGATGATTACAGTTAAGGGAACTGAGAATTAGAGAGCTTTAGTGAGAAACTTGCCCAAAGGTACACACTGAGAAAGGTCTGGGTTGGGATATCTGCACCCATTCATCTCACAAATATTCACTGAATGTTTATTATGTGTCAGGAGTGGGATTCACATTCTCTCTGATGCCCAGCTCAGAGACTGGAGGCCAAGGCTGTTTTATTTTGAGCTCACAGGTTCTCATAATGAGGGCCACCATTTGTGTGTCCTAGTAACTCAGCCAGGGTTTTGTTTATTTTGAAACTTCATTTTTCTTTTTTTTTTTTTTTTGCGGTACGCGGGCCTCTCACTGTTGTGGCCTCTCCCGTTGCAGAGCACAGGCTCCGGACGCGCAGGCTCAGCGGCCATGGCTCACGGGCCCAGCCGCTCCACGGCATGTGGGATCTTCCCGGACCGGGGCACGAACCCGTGACCCCTGCCTCAGCAGGCGGACTCTCAACCACTGCGCCACCAGGGAAGCCCTTGAAACTTCATTTTTAATGTCTCATATTTTCATGATAAACACCAATGTTCTAGTAAGGAACCTCGAGAACAAAGTTTTCCTTGAGCTCAAAACAATAGTCCAGATGGGTCTCCACGATGTGCAGATATTGCAACAAATCCTAGTCTTCTGTAAATAGGAATTATGTTGGTAGGAAGATAGGCTGGAAATGGGAGATCAGTTGAAATCAGGAAATGGGTGTCAAATTTAGTACTAATCTCCTTGGTAACATTACAAATAGAGATTCCACGTGGATAGAAGAATAATGTCCCAGCACAAAAGGCATCAGAAGTAGGGGAAGTTAACATATATGCATAGGGTGGGAGCCTGAGGAGTAGAAGAGGAGATCTGGATAAGATTCCACAGCAAGACTAAGCCCAGTTCCATCTTAGGACTCTCACTTTCTCCACCTTGACCCATGGTGCTCTATACTCTCATGATCCTGACCTCCACATCCTGTGTCATGGAGGGAGCTCATCTGTTGGTATTAGGTATATAATTTGTCCATCCATTCAAACATATTTATCTTTCAAAAAAGATCAGTGATGAATAATGTATTACCAAAGGAATAAATATCAAATGGTGGGACCTCAAGAGTCTAGAGCCCCTGAGAGAGAAAAAGGATATTGGGGTTTTCCCCTCTCAAATAATCTTGTTAATTACTGCCTACCTAGAGGTTTTGCTCAGATCACCCCTGTGATTGACCCCAAATCTTGATGAAACGCTTGATGTCCAGATTGGATTATGGGGTGCAATGTGAAATTAGTGACCCGACCAAACATGGTGAACAGGTCTTGCTGAGGCCATCCTGAATTCTACAGAAAGCTTTTTCAATTCAGTTTCATAAACAGCAAAGGGCAGATAAACTACCCCAAATCCTCTTTGAAATCAACACACATCTTGTCTTTAGCAGTCAGTTCATGGTACATTGTCTTCTGACATCTCTAGCACTATTACCTTGTAATCATTTGATTTTTGTAAGTAGAAACCCTGTTTTCCCCCGACTAGAGTGTAAATGGAAAAGACCTGGGGGAAACAACGGGATGGGGGAGAATAGAAGGGAAAAGAGAGAGTTTTCATAAAAAAAGAAAGGGAAGGGAGGAGAAAGGGAAGAGGCAGAGAGAAGAAATTAAGTGATAGAAACATTCAGTAAGCATTCATTAGTTCAAATGCTGAGATATACATTTTCACGTCCGCTCTTTAATTTCATCCTCACAACAATCCTGCAAAAATAGCCTTCATTACCCTCATTTTCCCAAAGAAAGAAACTAAGTTCAGACAGACTCAATAATTTATCTAAGATTATACAACTAGTGTCATTCTGACTTGCGATTACATACTACTGAAAAGAGACCCATGATTGCTTAGAAAGTGGCCTAAACAGAGTTCAAGTTCATACCTGCTCGACTGTATTGCTCTGCCTTTCCACTCAGTAGGCGCTTATGAAAGGTGGCCCACTCTCAAATAGGAATAGCCTGTGGCTGCAAAGTGTACTGCAGTTGGAAATCCTTCCTGGGAAGTTGTTGAACTGACCCCCACTGACCACACTCACCCACCTTCCCATCAGGACCAACCTCTTTAGGAGCCTCCGCTTGGATGAATTCTTCATAAATTTTCTTTGCCTTCTCAGCCATCTTGACAGGGGACTTGATCTTCTTGTAATCCTCACAGGCCATCCAGAACTCAAGGTTTTCCTCACTAAATTCAGACTTCAGGAAACTTTTGAAACTGGCAAGTCCGTCTAGCAAGGAAAAAGGTTATTCGAGGAAATGTATTCACCCTATCTATCTATCATCTATCTATCTATCTAACACTATATCCCACGTTGTAGCCTAGGTTTATTTACTATATATTCCTGTCATTTATGCCATAACCTTACAAAAGTTAACTCATTTGCTCCTCATTACAAATCTATTTTACAAATGAAGTCAGAGACATCAAGTAACTTGCCTTTAGTTAACCACCTGGTAAGTGACAGAGCTGGAATTCAGATCCAGACAGTCTATATTTAGGTGATGAAGGTTTACCTGTATATAACATCCAAGGACACTGTGAACACTAATGCCATCCTGGATACTTATCAATTACCAAAAGGAAAAAAGTACGTTTAAAACTTGATTTGGTAGTGTAAGTAACATTAATGTTGATTCTCATGTATGAACTACTTACAGTCTTTTTTTTTTCCTACAGATGATTTTTGAGCAAATATCATGTTCTGGGAATTATGGTCAGTAAAATAGATATGGTTCCGGCCCTAATGAAGTTTATAGATCTTGGGGGAGGTAGAAAAGAAAATGAAGAAACACACACAAATAAATGTACACAACAAAAGAAAACCATACGAAAGATAGTAAGAGTAACAAAAGGGGTCCTAACCTAGTTTTAGGTTTAGGGAAAGCCTCCATGAGAAAGTGACATTCCATTTGAGACCTGAAGGAGGAGTGGGAAGGGGCCCAATGAAGTCACCACTTGCAGAGTAGTTACTATGCCCATCAATTATACATCAGTCTATAAACATATTAAATTCAGTATAATTATAACTACTGTGATTCTGTTTTCAGTGCACTGTTGCTCATGTAGAATATATTTCAGCTTATAATTTAAATATATATACATCTATATATGAATATCTATCTAGCTATCTATCTATTAGAGATTCTTGGGCCTAATCCTTTTGTTTTCTTTTTCTTTCCTACCCCTCCAGCTCTAACCTCCAAAGTGGTAGATAAGTAGAAGGCAAGGTCAGGATTTAGGAAGGCACTGGAGAGGAACAAAGGAAAAATCACTCTATATCTTCAATATTTTCTTCCTTTTAAAGCCATCTCTCTCTCTCTCTCTCTCTCTCTCTCTCTCTATATATATATATATATATATATATATATATATATATGTTTTTTTTAAAACCCAAATTATA